TCCTGCTGACATCTACAACTAACCACTACTTTTGTCAGAAGAAAACACACACAGACTGACCCTACCTTAGAAGAGTCACTTATGAGTTCTTCAATGTGCGTGGTGTGTATGCACATTGAATTTATTATATGTCTATAACTAAACAATTAACACTTCCCGAAAATACTGCTACTGCATAGCAATATCCTTAGGTCACGTTCATAGTCCACCCTCTTCTTGAGCTCCTTTGGTAACATGCTACCACAGCATATCCAGGCAGAGCACAACACATAACCCACAGACTAAGATACCAGGGTAGAAAAACAAACAATGCATTAGCCGTGTATGTATTAGTTTGGAAGAACTTCATGCTACGGATAACTAACTACTCTGGAGTGTTTGCCCACTTTTAAAACATGGGTCACTACGAACGTTACCTCGCTACACTCACAGGTTGCATGAAAAGGACTACCAGAAGCTTTATGAAGACAGCAAATGCAAGATACTCTTCCAAGTGCTACTTCATGCTTGGCTTGATGAAGGAATGCAGAGAACTCCAGGCATCCATTGTGCCGATCTCAAGAATGGGGCGTTCGCTAGAAAAGCTATTACAGGTGCTTCTCTGTAGCAGGAGATATGGCTACAGATACATCTCCATAGTAGACACTCATGACAGGCTTTAAACCCATGTCCAGGATGACAGTCTTTTGTTAAAATAACCATATTCCTTAACCTTTCTACCTAAAAGGCAAGTGATTATACCTAGAGTCTTGTCCATGTAATTAAAAAAAGACAGTGCACAAAAGTCAGTGTATGAAGACCTGTTTTAACCCTGGAGATACCACATCTGAGAAAAGAACTTAGGCAAGCTAAAGTTCTTAAATGAGATTAGCTGTGCTACACCCCTCCTCCCTGGAAAAGAAGAAGAAAAAGCCTTTTAAAGAATGCTTGGTCATAGGGACTTCACTCTTCCCCATGCTTTCAGCTAATATGATAACACCCGCAGATGCTATTTTCAATGAAAGGTGAAGGACAGATCATATAATGGTGGGCTCGAACAGTTAACCTGTAAGGAAAATAAGCATCAGATTAAAATACCAGAGAAACACAGTCAATAGCTAGAGGAAAACTGCAACTAGCATTGTAAGAAACCAACAAATTCTCATCTAAAGATGGATGAAAGATAGACATAGTTGTAGGGTGGACCCAAAGCAAGTAACAATAAAAATCTCTAGTCTAGTTTACAAAGAAATTTTAATTTAAAGTCTTAATCTAAAAATGGTCACTTCTCTCATAAGCTCAAGATGCCTCTTTCTGTTTTCTGAGGAAGAGAAATGAGATACAGAGAAACAGACTGAGAGTGCTGAAGTTGCCTGGATCTGAAGAGGCTGAATGATCTACCCAAGAAGTATCCTGAGATTCTTTGCAGCCTGTAGTCTTGAAGTTCCAGAAAATAAAGCATTTGACTGACATGCAGTACTCGTCACACACAATAGTTGAGGACGGAAGGGACCTTTGGAGATCATCTAGGCCAACGCCCCTGCTCAAAAAAGCATGCTCACCAAGGGTATGTTGCTCAGGGTATTATCCAGTGAAGCTTCTAATATCTCCAAGGATGGAACTTCACAACCTGTGAAGTCTGAAGTCTGCGCAACCTGTTCCAGTATTTGAACACCTTCACCATAAAAATGTTTTTTTCCTTAAGTTTAAATGGGATTTCTTGTATTTCAGTTTGTGCTCATTGCCTCTTGTCCATTCACTAGATACCACTGAGAACAGTCTTGTTCCATCTTCTTTACAGCCTCCAATCAGATTTTTATAGACATTGATAGTATTTCACCCCTAAGCCTTCTCTTCCTTAGGGTAAGCAATCTCAGCTCCTTCAGACTCTCCTCATGACAGATGCTTCAGTCCCTTAAGCGCCTCTGTGGTCCTTTGCTGGGCTCACTCCAGTATGCTCATGTCTTGTACTGGAAAGCTCAGAACTGCACACAGTATTCTAGGTGTGGCCCCACTGGTGTTGAGTAGAGGGAAGAATC